AAAGCAGACCTAGTTCTCATTTGGCTAATTTAAATAAATGCTTTGATTACAACATGTTTTAGATGCCATATTAGAATTCTTGCTAACATGAATTATGTCCTGTGTGTTTATCAGTTCAAAACAAATTTCGTTCTCTGTTGGACCTCAAGTTGGCTGAAAATAGAGGTGGTTTGAATTTTCCATTCCCTGTTGATTTCTGCCTTCTAATTCACTTCCCTTCCTTCTTCCTGAATATACTCTTCATATATCACACATTCAGGCTTTAGTCCACATCACAGACTTTATCATTTTTGTACTTTTTTTTATTTTTTTTTATTACAGCGCACTGTACGGATGAGCCAGATACAGGAACTTGCAGGGATAGCTCTTCAAAGTGGTACTATGATCCCTGGACGCAGAGTTGCACCCTCTTCAATTACGGAGGCTGTGATGGAAACGATAACAGATTTGAATCTGAGGAACAATGTCTGAGTGAATGTCATGGTGTGACAGGTGAGTTTGTTCTTATTTGAAGTTGGATTGGTATGCCATTTGTCCATGACTCAAAGAATCACTGTAGATGCAAAACTGTGTTATCTCTGCCTCTTTAGACCTTTTGATTTGTTATCATGTGCTCTTATTTATCAAAAAATATGGAGTATGTTCAAGTTTTGACATTTCTTTGTCTATTTTTATAATGTGTCATGCATATGTGTTTTCTTTTATTACAGAAAAGGATATATTTGACAGAAAGACCAAAGCTGAGAAACAAGAGACTGACTCCAATACAAGTAAACAATCTCTTTTTTTTTTCCTTGATAGTATTAAACTAGGTTAACATATAGAGGACATATTGCTGGAATGATTTGCATAAAGTGTAATTAATGCATTGAACCACAAAGTCTTTAGTATATCTTATGTTTTATATTTCCCCTCTACAAGGGAGATTAAATGCAGAAAGCTTAGCAGTTTTTCAACATATTTTGAGTAAACCAAGTAAAATAACACAAATGACTTGCAATGACTTTAGTTCAGTTTGTCTGTATAGTTTCACACTTAAAAAGGTCAGTCATATCCATATGTGTAAAATCCCTTTTGGTTTGAAAGGATTTCAGTATAGTCTGGTTTATTCCAGCACAGTCCAGGTATTAGACTCATTCAGACCCGATTACATACAGTCTTGTTTATTTCTTAGTAATTATACACTGCAGTCAGATAATTAATCAGTCTTTTCTCAAAGTTAGAACATTTTGCCACATCATGTGGTAAAAGTGGAGTTAAAACCCTTCTAGAACTGGAACAAACCTCCACCAGAACTAGGTTTACTGTGAGAGGCCATCAGCTTCCACTGACTGGAGGGAAAACAAAAACACCATCACTTATGGAAGATATTAACGTAGTAGCTCCTTCAGTAGCTAAATCCAGGGGGGGGGGGAAACAAACGCATCTTCAGACAGAAACAAAAAACATAAAAGAAATTCTAAGGTACACTCACAAGCCACTTTATTAAGTATAATTTGCTTGCAGATTTTGGTCCGTACTGACATGACCTCATCAAACAATTGCTACAAATTAGTACATGGTGAGAATCTTGTTCCACCAAATCCCAGAAGTGCTCTAATGGAGTAAGCACCAAGTGAGATCAAGAAGCCAGTTTAAAATGATTATTATTAATTTTTTTAACCTGTAATTTGTCTTCTCTGCATCTTAACTATGAAAACGGGTTTCAGTTTTTCTGTCAAAGGTCAAAGTTTATTCACCTCAATTTTCCAGTTCATCAAGTTGCATTGAGTATCCATATGTTGATCTGTTTTAACCAAAATGTTTGTCATTATTGAACAGGTGTCATTGCCATTGCTATTATCCTGGGTATAGCCATCGTCATTGTCCTTGCCGTCCTGGGGTACTGCTGGCTAAAGAACAGACGGCCCCGCCACACCCTGGTGTCCACCAGCAGCAAACCTCTGTGACACCATCTTACTCTCATCTAAATGCTTTATCACAAAGACTCTGTTTGGAAGAGCAGGAAGACTTGTTGTTTCTTCTAATTAAGTCTGTATGTGAATATGTCTTGAAGAGGATGCATACAAAAAGCAGAAAGTCTTTGGTGAAATGTGAAGTGTTTCTTTTAGTGCTGCATGCTATTGGAATAAATTGGCACAGGAATCTGTAAGATGAGGTTAAGTGGGAAGGATTGATTAGAACATCATGGCACAACATCAGAAGCAACCCTCCCATTAGAATACAATATTTGATGTTTTCCTTCGTTCATTTTTTATCAGTTCTGATTGAACAACTTTTACTGTTTATTGTACAGTTGAAAGCAAAACTCCTGTCTTTCAACCAAACCCAGGAGATCTTGTTTATATGTACACTTTTCACATGAAAATGTTTTGTTTCCTCCAGTTTTCTTACTTTAACCTTATTTTACACATTGTTGTTACATTCCATTGAATTTCACCCACATGCAAAGTGTTGTACATAATCTTGGGTTTTAAAAATATATTTCTTAGAAGTACTTTTATCAATTTTTCTTTTAGGTTTCTATATATATATATATATATATATATATATATATATATATGATTCAATTTTAACTTTACTATTAAATATTTTAATTGATACATTTGTAGATATAATTTGATGTATACTTCTTTAGCTTTACTTATGTTGTGATCTTTGTCTTAAATAATAAAAAAAAGATTTAAACCAAATTTATTACTTTTGAAATTATTTTTTAGAAATGTGTATCTTACACAGTTGCCATTTTTCCTATTTGCCTTCTATGCATTAAAGCCTGGACTTAATCTTACTTCTGCCTTCCTAAAACGTTTTCAAAAACTTAACTGGTTAAGTTTTCATAGAACAATAATCTTGTCCTATGAACCTTTAAATAATTTTCTTTATTAAATTGACTTTTTTTTTTTTTAACACAGGCTAATAACTGTTCTGACCTATGTAATTGAGGTTAGTGATAGAAGATGAATGACACCTCAAGAGGCTATCACTGACATTTGGGGACCCACATTTTGCTAAAAATATTATGAAAAACCATTTTATATGCGGATCTACAAAAAGATGTTCATTCACATTTATTAATGACCAAAAAACCTGTGTTACTTGCTCAGGTTACTTCCACAGTTTGAACCTCTTCACAAAACATTTGAAGTAAAATCCCCTTAAGAATTCTAATAAATGTTGGTATTCTCTTCCAGCGTTTTCACTGAGCTTTTTTTCATTTCAAATAAAGTGGTTATAGGTCAATATGCTTTCAGTAAAACAAAATATAGGAGTCATTTACACCAGTGTGGCTTTTGTTAATCAGTTACTCTTACTGAAACCGCTTTTCATAGTAAGTTTTTAGTACGTTTCAACTGACCAGATCATTGATGGTGTAGCATTTTCTTTTTTATTGTCCTATTTCTGTTAAAAAAAAAATCGCTTATTCAAATCTGCCAAAAAAAGTGTTCGCATAAACTGGTCTGACGTACAAGTTCACTGTGGACTTCTCTGAAACCAACTTTTCTGGATTTATACTAAATGAAGACACCGAGTTATCTGCTGCTCATGGGATAAATCAAGCCTTTTGTAGAACCTCAGTTTTAAAATGTCTGAGCTATCCCTTTTACGCTTCCTGTAGGGCATACCATGGAATAATAAGCTGTTGCTTTTAATGGGAAAACATTTTCAAGTAGTTGTTGGATTGTTTGAAACTAGTTAGACACATTACAGTACACATTGATCAGAAATGTAACATATACACGAGCAAGAGACTATTCATACTATTATACAAGAATAACGTAAAAATTCCAACACAGTTATAAGTAATTATGGGATATGAATACAAGAGTGTACTTTGTATAAATTTTAATATATATGTTGGAAATTCAATAACACTACTACTGCAGCTACTACTACTGATACTGATCAAAATGATTATTATAGTAATTGCAGAGTGTGATCCATACAGTTGTGTGTCGCCACCAGGAGATGGCGACACAGCTCCGTTGAACTTCAACGTGTTTCAGTGTAGAATCTTACGAATGAACTGATTCACCAGTAATATTTTTTCAGTGCCATGGCCTGAGCTTTTTTTTTTTTTTTTTTTTTTTTTTTGACTAGAATCATTGCAAGCAGAAGATATAATTCAAATGATCTAAATAAGGTACCGTCAATACTGCACCTATCTCTTTTGCAGCCCCATATACAAAAATAGGGATCCATAAATATAATTTGCATAGTCATATTTTATTGTGTTTTAGGAATGCTTTCATTGTCCAGCATGTCTTGTGCCAACTCTTATAAAAATGAACAAAATGATGATACTGATACCATGTAGAAACAGCAAAACAAACTTCGTTGCGAATCAAAGTGTAGCACTTTACAAAGAATGTTTATCCAATTGATATCCAGAAATTCAGTCCAATTGTATAGACATTCAATATTGATTATATACATTCCAATTCCATCCGAGTTATAAAACTATGCAGTCAGTTTTAATTTTTTATGCCACCAAGAACAAGTTATGATGGCTAATTGTGGTGTATTCCATTTGCTTGGGTGTCAGAACTGAACATGGATTTGATAACATTAAACTCAACTTAAATATGTTTAGGATTCAGGGTCTGTCCTTTGGACTTTAAGTGATCATGTAGCTGGTTTTAATAATGTTAGCTAAAAGCAACAGATTAGATTATGTGTTTCCAAATAGTAAACAGTTTTTGGACGCAGTGATCAGCAGAATTAAAAATTAATATGTTTTCATTTGTCTTTCTCTGTAACTATGGTTTATTTTAAATATGTAAATAAAAACATTTTCTTAATTTTTATTATTCTTTCAGATTTCAATAAAATGCTATGTTAATTTTAATTTTAATTTTTTGGCTCTTGTTTTTCCCTACTGGTTTCCGATTAGAATTTCCAAAAAATATGTACTGACCTATAATCATAACAGCTCACTGCAAAATTAGGACACTTAGACGGCAGAGGTGCTCGGAAGTGGAGTCGTTATCTTTTGCAGCTGGAGTCACTCTGACTCAGTGCCATGCTTTTCGCTGTCGTAAAGCGCTGTTTGAATATTTCCGGGAGGCAGTGAAAGCAGCAGCAGCAGCAAAGGCAGTTCCTTCGCAGTTCTTCAAAGATGCGGCGGCGGTGTGTTTTATACTCGGACCTGCTCTGGGATGTTTGTCTTTGAGAGGCATGTATCACGTAAAAAGAAGAAACTCAGCCGATTATTTCGTGTAGAGAGTTAGCAGAGAGGAGAAACTTTAGCCAGGAGTTTTGAGTCGCTGGAAGATAAAAAAAAAAAAACAAAGTTGGGGTATTCGGTACGTACGCTTTACTGAGAAACTTTACCTAGTCTCTTCTGAATTAACGTCATTGTTTGCTAAACATGCTGAAATTGTGCATTTTGTTTAGGTTTAGCTGCTGTGTCTCTGGTGTTCTTTAAACAATGCCGTTTCATTTTCTTTTTTTTTTTTTACTTGTTTGTTTAAACTCGCGTGAGCATGTTTCAAAACCATCATGCTGGAAGTCAGCAATACTGATTTTTTTTAAGTCTTAATATTACAAATGATCGGAATGCATGCATTTGAATTAGCTTGCAGTTGTAGATTAAGTTTAGACCAGTGAATTCGCCATTATGATGATGATGATGATGAATCTCTCCTTTGTGGCTGCTTTACTTGAAATCAGACTTTCTGCTTCATATAATTTTATAGCCTCCAAGCTGTACAGAAGCGGTGCCCTGGAGTTTCAGTCAGATATGTTCTGTTTGTCTTTCTGACAAACCACTCTCACTTGAATGGACTTTGGACAGATGCTGCAGGGTGTATTTTATCCTCTTTATTACAGAAGTTAGACAAATCTGAATCCCGGTGCTATTTCCTGCTCTCCTGCATCCCACTCCTCCCCCATGGTGCACACACTCCTCCCTTTGCAAACCGTATTGTTATTTCTAATGAGCACCCCACTGAGACAGTCAAATATTAAGCTCACTTTTAGGTCAGAAGCTCTCCCCAACCAGCAGCTGAAGAAGAATGGGGACAAAAATCAATCAATTACTGCTGAAAAGCTCCATCTTGTGCTTCTTCGACCCCATTTGACCTCTCGCACAATAACGTCTCAACATCATTTCTTACAAATGTTGCCTGAACAGAGCATTTGAATAGGTGGTCCAGACAGGAAGCTGCACAAGTGTGTCTTGGATCTCAGAGTTGGCCTTTGGTTACTTCTTCCACAGCGCTGGAAGACTCTAGCTGTGATAAAATCACCAGAGTTGCAGAATGTGAGGGCGGTTACTTCTATGGAGACCTTATAATTTTAAAACCTTCTTTCTTTGTCCTGAACTTGTTCGGTGTTGAGGGACAGTTGCAGCAGACCTTTTTAACTGTCTGCAGCCAGAGCTGCTCTGCAGACTTTACACATAATTTAAAGAAACTATTCACTGGTGTGTGTTTTATCCGACCACACCAACAACAAAATAGAACAGAAACAGCTGGATATTGCATTGCAGGATTTCACTGAAAGTTAAGGTTTTAGAGAATAAAAAAAGAAGACATAAGAATGCTACTAATTCTGCTTTGTGTGCCTTTGGGTTGATGACATCACAAAAGGCACATGAATCGAGCTGATCACTTGAAATGGAAGACCAATTTTGGAAAGATTTTATAAGTTTCAAAGTGTTTGTTTTGTTCCAGGTTGCTTTCATTTTTTTTTGTCACAAACAGCTTCCATTTTTTGTGTTTTTATTTTTTTTTAACTAGTATTTTCTGAAGTCTATTTAGTGTGTACACTAAATGCAAACACTTTACCATGGCTCAAACGTTTTGCAACAACCACACACAATAAGTAAAAACCTTTTTGTAGGAGGAAGTTGTTTAAAAACGGATGAATAAAGAGGAATAAACAAAAAAATAATAATACACAAAATGACATTCAAGGGAAGTCTGAGTGGCTTTTTGCCTCATGAGATGTAACCAGAGGCATGCAAGTAGATTTTTATCCGGGTTGACTAATGATTTACAACAAAATATCAAAACAAGTAAAATAATGGCAATTTGTTGCATAGATAGTAATCTGTGTCTGAAGTGAGTTTCATTGATTTAACGGAAAAGTCTAGAAAGTAGCTTTAAAGGCAACCTTCCAATGTTTATCTGAAAGATGGCATGCAGGAGCTATGTGTCATTTTACATCCCTGAATCCTTGAAGGTCTAGCTTTGTTTTAAACAATCACAAAATAGCTTAGTGCCTTCAAATGTGGTGTGATGTACCTTTAAACTGGTACACTCCAGTTCTATTTGAAGACATGTTGTCTAATTTTACCCAGCAGTCCTGCCCTGTCCCCTGTCCAAACTGTGCAGGGCATTAATGGAGGAGGACCTGTTGCCTTCTGCATGTCTACCGCTCATAATTTTAAGGAGTTTGAAATCTTCAGTTGCGACTTGCTCACGCAGATGGCATTTTTTAACCTCACATGCCAGATATTTGCATTTGTGTTTTTTATTGGATATTTTTGTTAGAGAAGAGGAAAGTGCTATTTTTTTTTCCTTGTTCACAGCAGTGGGAAACAATTATTCCCCCATTAAACTTTATTTGAGGTGTTGAAATGTAGGTGTGCCATATGGGCTGCATGCCCCCTGGCTGTTCATTTGGCTGAATCACATCTTCCTGGCGTATTTAGAAATGCAGTGGAGGAAAATAAGAGGTTTGTTATGGGCTGTGTGTCTGTGTGAAGGTTGGACTAGGGTCTTTTGTCTAGTCGGTGGATTTATTTGAGTTGAAGAGTGGCCTTCAGGGCGTATTGTTTTCTCTAGAGAATGAAAAGCTGTTGGTCTCTTAAAGCCTGCATGTCAGAGAACAAACTGCAGGAATAATGTGGGAAAAGAGGGCACTCACAGAAAAGCTTTTAAATGGGGTAGCGAAGAGGTCATGCAAGATAAACACCCCACCAGTTCTGATTTATTGAAAAAAAAAAAAAAAAAAATCCTCCTTCCCTCTTTCACTCTTAAAAGCCCCAAGTCCAGGTTAGGTTTTTATTTGTCATTGACCTAAATATCTGTCCTGACCGACGGTGTTTTTAAGAGAAATTCAAACCACAGCGTGTGACTGCCTCAAGACGCTCCAGAGTATTTATGTCATCCTTCCAATGTCCCATGTGAAGGCAAACACTTGTGGTAGATCTCATGCTGTGACAGAGGAGAGCAGGAGAAACATTTGGGCTCTTTTTGTTTTTGATTATGCATTTGAGTTGTAGAAACAATTGAGAATTTGTCATACAAATGTCTTCGTAAATTGGGATTTAAATGGAAATCTCTAATCAACAGAGACTCCTAGTCAACATGCATTAAGGTCAGAGAGAGAGTGAGATGCGTCATAACTTCAAATGAGAGAAAAATTCTGGATTTATTTTTCATAAATATAGTTGAAATTTACAGTGTGTCATATTTAGTGTTGGGGTAAAACTTGAAAACCGATGTTTAGACTTGCCCATCGCGTTTGATTGAGCTTGAGCTATTTTGCAAAAAATAATGGCAGAAAGTACTGACCGTGGTGGGCTGGTGCCTGAAATTCCTGTCAGGTATTTATTTGTAAACATTATAACAACTGTTGAAAGATGCATGGAGGTTGCGGAGCGCGCGACTAGAGCTTTCACCCGGTTTCGGTCACATCCTTTATTATTGTCTATGCCCTCTGTGTATCTTCCTGAAGCAACAGAGAAAGTGACTTATCTGAAGAATGAGGAGAAGTGGTGATTTCCTTTGTAGACATGGCTGCTGCTTTCACTTCTGCTTTAACCTACTTTAGCTGAGGTAACATCTCCAGATAGACATCAAGATCCAAAGGACTCTTTCCTATAATATGTCAAATTGTAGATCTTTGCTTAAGATAAATGCTTTACTTGTAAATGTTGCTTGAGTGTTGCTTTTACTGTGCGGTGACGACTCCGTTGCTGCTTGATTTCCTTGAGTGACGTATCTTAGCTTACATCTATCCCCCTCAGTCATTTGTTTATTTTGGATAAAAGGTGCAATTCGGTCCTCAACATCCAAATATGTGTAAAACCTTTGGAGCAGAAGAACAAGAAAGTATATTATCTCATCTGAAGTAGCGATCCTTTGCCCATCCTCTTGTTCATAACCATCAGACTGGTTTTGTGGCATCTGTATCTAATTAAGGGGCAAGTTGAAAATTCCCATGTGGGGAGGTTCATGCTGTGGGTAATGCAGTCGTCAGCTGTGGGAACCAAATGCTCTCCATTTGTGTGAAATTGTATTTAGTTCAGACACAGGTGGTGGGCCTGGCATGAATGTATGGCTGTATTTAATGTTTTCTTTAGGATTGAAAATTTTGGTCCTACCCCCTCCTTTGGAAAAGCAAGCATTAAAAATGGCCAAGTGGTATCCAAAAAATTAAACTTTTTTCTGAAAGTTGTACTTGTTTCCTTGTAAGGCAATTTAAAACTTTGCAATGTCCCTGATTATAATTACTCCATAGAGCCTTTGATAAGACTGGAAGAGCATTTGGACACCCAGACGTCTGTGTGTTTCTAGGTTTGAGCTCATTATTCCCAGTCTAGTCAGTCCTTGACCAAAGACAGATTAGCATAGTTTTGGTCTGAAAATTAGGTCGGGCGAGCTAAGGGATTGATGTGGGAGGGATTATTAAGGATTTCATTAGCTCAGTGTTCACCGAGATAAGTTGAAAGTCAAACTTTCAGTGGTTCTCCTCCATTTTTCACAGACTAACCTAGTTCTTAAAACGTAATTGAGCCTGATCAAAAGCTTTAGACTCTAAAGCTTAACGTGAAAAAAACCATTCTGAGGTTTTAAAAATCTACAACCTAAAAACTTTAAAAATGTACATCATACTTGTTCTACGTTTTGAAGTCCTCTTTAATGAGAGGTTAGAGAAAAATGTGCTTTAGAGTATTTTTTTTAAGAATGTTAGAACATAGTGCAACACAGTGTTACCTCTCCCCAAAGTGTAACTGTGCACTGATGCTTAGCTGCCTGAAAGAAGAGTGTAAAGTTTTTTACATGCTATCTAGACCACTCTGTCTCTTTGGAAACCATTCCACTGGCAAAAAAAAGGACAGTCAAGGTGTGGAAACTAGCACTGTTTTAAAAATAGATGTGGGAAGCTGTTTTAAGTAAATGTGCTTATTTGGTTTCATACATTTACTTTAAATTTTCAATTACAACATGGTATGATAAAACCTCAAACCTGACAGTTATAGATAAGTAATTTAAAAAGAGACACTAAGAAACATATGTAGAAAAATATGGTATTGTCTCAGTGTGTGCCATGCACAACACACTGTAGGTTTTATTTGTATCTGTTGTGTAAAAAAATAATAATTTCAGTGGGGAGATTTTACAAGCTCTACATTAGTCCGAGCTGCAGCTGGAGGGGCCTTTGCCTGATGTCCACATCCAGTTCCGTGACTTATATCCCTGCATTCCTGCACATCTTAATTGGTGAACCTCCGGGCAGCGGGTTTCGGCTGAGGCCCGGCTGGCCTCAGCTGGCCTTGCTGTCAGCTCGGCACAGTGGCCAGCAGATGTAGCGGGAACAATGCCCATCCTAATCCCTGAAGAATTCCTGCTCTCCTCAGATCTATCTGGCCAAAGAATGTGACATCTAAAAAGGCCCTGGGGCTCACCCGGGTCCGCAAAGGGACAATTCTCATGCAATGTGTTAATTTGCTGCAAGGAGGCTGAGAGGGGAAGTTGTGTGAAAGTGGCAGCACATTGACTCCAGAGGGATACAGCTGAGAAAGCTACAGTCTGACATAAGACAGCAGAGAATCCTTGATGTGAACCCGTAACCCTGCAAGATGACTGGGACAGGTTTTGCTTTGTTACGAATCTAATCAATCAAAGCAAGCTGAAGTGATAATGTTAATCAGTTTAGTCTTTAATAATAAGTAACATGCTTCCATTTGATTTGTAATCACTAAGCGATATTATATTTCTTTGCCAAAAAAAAAAAAACTCTCTTGATCTTTCCACACTGATTAGACTCAGCTCAAATCAGCGTTTCCTTTACTTACCTCTACTGCAGAGCTACACTATGCATTACACAAGTCTGAGTAGCGAGCAGTGGAATGGGAAGAATTTCCCTCTGGTATAAGATCACAGTTCACTGTGTGCAGTCTGGAGAGAAAGCCTTTTTACAAAATAATGATGTTATTGATAGCCCAGCAGGGTGACGATGATAAACATTGTTGCTTTGTATTCACTGTACATCTTGGCTGGAAGTGTCTGGATCATGTCTGAATATTTGTGTTTTCCATTGTCACCTCAGAGGCCTGCGTGCCATGCCAGAGGGCTCCCATTCTGCTCGCCACCAGGGCCAAATGGGGGAAGGTAAGATCAGAGGAATATTCTCTGTTGTGACACACGTACAGTGCCTTACCAAAGTAGTATTGGGAGTTTATGTGAGAGAACCACCTTTTACTATGACTACAGCTGTAAGTAATTTTGGGTATGTCTCTACCAGCTTTACACATCTACCAATAACAGTTTTATAGTTGTAGTTAATAGTTCTTTGTCACGCCTCAGTAAATACAAAGCTTTCTAAATACAACCATCCTGAGAGATCCATTAGAAAGTTGCTGCAGCAGAATTGTAGTTGGAAAAAAAACTGACATTCTTACTGGGAAAGTGAGAGATTTATTTTACTAACCCAGTCCTCAAAATCCAATAGAGCTGTCTCATACAGAAACAAAGTGATGATCATAGTGGATGAAAAAAAACCTTTTATGAGTTATACCTCATTAAATCTTAAACAGTAGTCCATCCATCCATCCATCCATCCATCCATCCATCCATTCATTCATTCAAACACTGTGGCAACGGCTGTACATGTTGCCACAGTGTTTAAAAGCACCACAAATATCTTCCCTTTCACTCACAACCCATTTTTCTGTCTGACCACTACTAAAGACCTCCAGAGCCAATAAAACATTGAAAAATCTCAAAACAGGTGTACTTTCTTAATTAGTTGATTTCTGAAGGCAACTGTTAGCAGTTGATTTCATTTGGGTGTTTTAGAATAAAAACAGCAAATACACATTTTGGGGGTTTTTTTGTTTCTTTTTTTGTGGAGCATTTTAAAAACATCATTTGCCTTCTTCCTCATTTTTTTGCACTATTTTTGTGTTTTCACATGAACGGCAGATAAAATTTAAAGTTATTAAAGCTCTAGGTTGCAGTCTGACAAAATGTGAGAAAGTTCAAGAGGGCTGTCCTTTCTATAAAACAACCATTATTATGATAAAGACTTTTGACAAATGGCTGCTTTAGTGTCTGGTTCCCTTAAGACAATGTGCTAATTTAAAAGGCCTTCTGCAGCGCATACAGGGGAAAAAATGATGGAAACAGAAAAGCAGAGGAAATGTAGAGACTTTGAGAGGCAGACTGAAAGAGCAATGAACTCCCCTCCTACACTCCCGACTGGCAGAGAGGCTCTTTGTGTGGCTGTGTGGAGCTCAGCCAACCTCATCTCGCACAACTGTAGCCCCCAGAACATGAGCACATAGACCCAGAACTTGTCAGGATCCCTGACAGTCAGGCTGGTTTGTCTAACCAGTGTTGCTGACCTTGTATGCTGGGGGCCACTCAGATTACGTATTATTTTAGAGTTTATAATCTCAATCGCAGAGCCGCTGCCTTGACACAGGACCTCTTTGTATTTGTTTGCCTGCTCCGTCCTTCAACCCACTATCTCCCCCTCCTCTGCTGCACACATTTGGCTCTGGACTTCCACTTTGGCTGAAGAATATCAGTGCGTCAATGGTGGCTTTTTGTTCCCCCCACGCCTGTCCCTTTGGTTCAGCTGTAGCCAGAGGAGGATTTTGGCGAGAGAAGACGTGTGCCACCCCCATGCAAATTTTGTCTCAATTTCCTCATAAGACTGTGCTTCACCAAATGCATTTCTTTTCTAGAGCTCACTTGTTGATATTAAAGTGTGACTAACTGATCCCTGTTCAATGACAAATTGGGGGTAGTTAAGGGGCAAAGCTGCTAGTAATGTGATTTCTAGATGAGGTGATGATTGGGTGTAGTTAACAGCGACAATTTCATGAGAAAGCACTTCGTCTGAGTATGATCACCTTCTAGCTGCAGATCCCACAAGTAAAACAAGGCTGTTGGTTTAATGATGATGGCTCTACCAAGCAATAACCGACCTGAGGCTGCATGAAAAAGCAATCTCAAAGATAAGTCTCCTCTCTGACTTAACCCCAAACAGGAATGTAGCTGTTTGTGCAGAACGTACAGCTTTACAGGGGTTCTGGGGTGGGGGACTGATGGATCATCTCCATTCACAGCAGCTTTTCCAGACCAGTGGACATAGGATTGTGGACATAGATGGATGTCGGCAGGGACGGCTGCGTCTCTTGAGTGAGCTTGTTAAGGGGGCTTCGTGACCTGGAACTTTTCTTCATCTGTCTAATTGACTGTAGCGTTGATCACATGCAGCTCACGTGATAATTCAACAAATCCTGTTAAGGAAGTTTAAAATGAGTAAAAGTATACACAGTGGCGCAACTGCACATTATTCAGGTGGATGCGAAAACCTAAATCGGCGCATTGGTTTTTGCTGCTTCTCCACAATGACCAAATGTGTGCGATGCATGATTAATCTATCAACAATCTGTAGCGGTCTCTCCTGGGGATGTTTTTCTTGGTGGGATTCCAGTTGTGTCATTCTCTTTTTATTTTTAAGTGATGGTTCTGTCTAACAAAAAAAGTGTTAAATATAGTTTTACAATCTAATTCTGCTTTAAACTTCTACAAAACATAATTCCTGACCTGTTTGTTGCATTCTTTGGTCTTCATGATGCTGTTTGTTCACTTATTTCCTCCAGCAACCTTTTAAGACCGGAAACAGAATATCTGTATTTCTACTAAGAATAAATTACACACAGTGAGTTTAATGATTAGACAAATAAGGCAGATGCTTTCGCTGGGTTTTATTTAGAATTATCGGAGTAAAAGGGGCGATATAGAAATGTAAGATACATCTCAAAACTTTAAAATGTATCATCTTGCTTACACTTCACAATTACGCTCATTGTATTGGTCTGTTATAAATTCATAATCATTGAACTTTATTCATTAACATAAGAATAACTCCTTTTTATGGCCACACAGCTATCGTAACTTAAATTTATAACCCATCTCGTTCTCTTTATTCTGACCTAGATCTTTAAACTACCAACAAAAGACCTGATTACAATGCATTTTATTATTTTACAGCCTTCGAAAGTAACTTTCCTTTTATAGAGATCTTCCAGCAGATTACCCACATTAGTTACAGACTATCGCTACGTTGGTTCTTGCTGTTAAAAGGCCTCCCTGAAGCCTATCCAAGAACTTCCTCTGCAGCACAGTCATTTCACATGTAAGCGAACCTATTTGTGAAACACTATAGAAAAGTAGAAAGCTGTTGTATAATAATGTAGTCATTTTAGACTGTTCTGTTTCCTAAAAGGCTTTAGAGCCAGATACAGTGATGTTAGTTTGGCTGTTATGTACTATACATTTTACAAAGAGCTGAAAAGCGCAAGACAAAACACTTTCCCACCCAGTGTAACGCTACATTTGATAAAACAGTGTGATGTGTTAAGTAAATGAACTGCTCCTCCCTGAGCCTTCACACTTCACACAGCGGACTCGGCAGAGAGCTACTAACGGTTCAGCTGATTGGGGGCAGACTGACAAATTGGTGATAATGTTTACAGTGGGCTTCAGGCCTCAGAAGTGTGTATTGTCCAAAGGAAATGGGAGTTTTCAGCAGATCCTGCCTGGCTTGCAGCAAGCGAGCGCCTGAAGAGATTTTGGAGGGGATGAAGGCAGGGGGGTATTGTTGATGGAGGAGTCTGTAAAGTGGATCATCACATGCCTATGCTCTGAGGTCAGCTGGCACGGCTGGATCCTTTAAGAGGCAGAGGTTAAGAACGGAGGAGTTTTATAGGATAATATTTGACCTTTTTTAGGAGTTTTGGCCCACTGGAACAATGGGAAGTCTGCCATTTTTATCTCATCCCTTTTCCTGTTGAAATCCTTTTAGCTTTTCCAGGAAAAAAAAAATTAAATAGAAAAACTACAGTCAATAAATGGCATAAATTCACAGACACACATTTACTTTCACTTCTGAGCTGCAGAATTCCCCTGAAAGTTCCCAGAACTTTTCGACCTTGTCTGTTGGCGAGGAATGCAGGTTCAGTTTGTAACTGTGTGTGCATTCACCGTCTGTTGTCCTCGAACGGTTTATTTACAGACCAGTGGGTTAATCATTAACAGAGCATTAAAAGCCCATAGCAAGGCCAAATACAGCTGTACATCAACCATCTGGTGCATATGAAAGACAAAAACTCTTGAAGTTAGCAGGATTCTTTCCTCTCCGTTGAGGAATAACAAACCAATCCAGGCCTTTGGATTCAGTTTCTGATCACCAGGGTTTAGATCAATGCTGTTGGATAATGGTCCATGAAGGCTGAAGGTTTAATCTGCGGAGGCACCATTTATGCTTACACCTCACACCTCCCTGACAGGAGGCTATTAATCAGTACCAGGTGGGGAGGAGTTGTTCCTGAAGGACCTCAGACCAGCTCTTCATCCAGCATGAGTCTCTGGGGGAGGAACAGATTTCCAGAGGTTGTGAAGGGGTCTTTGAAAAGGAAGTGGTGAATGGATCTTGAAGAGTGGGAAAGCTTTATTAAGACATAGAGCAAAACTTTTCCCCTCTTTATTCTCTAGAGGACAAGCAGGTCACGCACTTCATTTAAAGAAATCCTAACACACTTGTTTATATGATTAGCTGTTGTTTTCTGTCTAGTGCATCTCATGAAGTCCGAGTATTGTTGCCAAATTAATCTGACCAATCTAGCACAGTAGCCATGGCCATTAAATAAAAATATTTGTACTTTTGACATTACAGCAACATGTCAAATCTAAATGGAAAATGTAAAGCCTTTAGTACAATCTACCCTTTCCTGGTAGATTGCTGTGAAGATGTTTGAATTGATCTAACAAAGTAAACCAACACCAGAAGATGTCTTGGTTCCCCAGATCACCACTGACTGTGGATACTTTACTCCTGACTTTGGAATCAGCATATCTCCACTTGTTCAGCCTCTGGGACTTTGATTTTAAATAACAGAATGAAAAATGTGCTTTAATTTGAAAAGAAAACTTTAGCCCACAGTCTCTTTCTCGGGAGGAGCAGCTATATCTTTGTGGAGTGGCCCTTTAAGTCCCGACTTTGGCTGCAGTCCTTACCTCTGAATGTCACAGAATGACTGCTGCTTTTGTGTTTATTCCCTGTTGCAATTTTCCTTCCACTCAGTTTTATATTATTATGCTTGTAAACAACAATGTATGAGCAGACAACTTTTTTAGCAATGACCTTTTGTGGCTTATCATGAGCAGATTGCCAAAATCTGCTGAGCAGCTGCCAGATCAGCAGTCCGTAACATAACATATATATTTTTTTATTATTATTATTCTTGTTGGTCTTATGTAATCATATTTTTTTTTTGTGTGCAACTGGATTTTGATCTTCATTAACTATAATTATTAACATAAATAAGCACTTGAAATCTATTGTTCTCTGTGTTAGAAATGTATATAATAAGAGATTCACTTTTAGAATTTAATTAAATAAACTCACCTTTTGGTAATATTTGAATTTATTCAGATGCACTTGCATAAATTAAACAAGGTATAAAGATGGCCAATTTTCTCTTTACATCTAAAACCATAACTAATAAGCTTCTTTAGGGAAGATCTCTTTTTAGAAATGGTGTGGAAAGAATTGCTTTATCTTGCTGCCTGGAAGAACCAGGAAACTTGGAAATAAAAATCATAATCCAAGATGACTATCACTGGTCTTGTAGCAGCAGATGTCTCGGGGAAATATCACAAGTTATCGTTAGTTGTGATTCACCCTCCAAAGGTTCAGATTCATCATCTTTTGATGCATGAGTCATTATGAATCAAGCAGAAAGGGCTGAGCAAAGGTTGACTGTTTTACTTGCAGAAACATGTTCTTCCACTAGGATCCATGCAGTGTTGTCTTTGTTACATAAAAAATAATGCTTGTTTTTGAGTTCTTAAAATAAAAATGAAGGATGGATTTTATGACAGATCTGCTGTAGGCTGGTATCCGTTATGTAATATGTGGGTTTTCTTGGAATAAGGCTTTTATTTTTCAAATGCCAAAAGTTCCCTATTAGCTTTCAGATAAGCATTTGCATGTTGAACATAGATGCAGACTGCGTTGTTCCTGTTTCTGCATCTTATTTGCTTAGAAAACAAAGCACAGTGTAGCTCAGCGCAGAGAATATTTAAGGCTACCAGCTGTTAACACAGGCTACAGCTCGACTTCCAGCTAAGTTCAGGTGAACTAGTCATGAAGGTGCGCCTCTGTGGGAGAGTGATTCCTTCAATGGAGAGATGACACACTTTTCATCCTGTCATATAAAACTGAGTCACTCAAGTTTCTGGAATTAGACCTGTATTTGGGAAAAAAAAAGTGATTTCGAAACCTTTGTAACATGGTCTTTCACTTTGCTCACTTCGCTGGGGAAATGTCATCACCTTCACAATAAGGTATGGAAACATTGTTATTTTGAAAACTGTACAATGTCTCAAATAAGTTGCTTTTAACAGGGTTAATTATTTTTTTTTGTTACACTTGAATGTTACATCACCAACAACAAATTTTATTGTCGAAGATGATGATGATTTCATTTTAAAGGGAAAAAACTAACCTTATGTACATGTATGTATAACATACTGAAATACGTGGCAGTATTGTTGCCCACAATGAAGTAGTCTACGCAATCTAAAAAAAGCAATATTTTATGTCCCAATGTCAAGGAAATTAAGAATAGTTGAGAAAACTGTAATTGACAAAATAATGTTGGTAAAGAAATGCTTATATGGACATTTTAAGGCTTTGGGACCCCAGCAAACACAAAAACATGAATTTTTACAAACACAAAAAACAATCAGTGGTGAACTTTCCTAGGAGAGGTTGGCCTACCATAATTACTCCAAGCAAGTATCAACAAATCATCCAGGAGGAAACACTGCAGACCTTACTTCAGTTGATGTAATTGTTCATGATTCAACATTTGGAAATAGACAAAAAGTTGCATTCATGGGAAAGTTTTAGGACCAAAACCCCTGCCGACCTGAATGGGACACCAAGGCTCCTCTTATTTTACATCTTGATGACCCAGGAAATTTTTGGGAACATTTTCTGCAGACTGATAAGACAAAAGTTAAACTTTTATGATGGTGTGCACCCTGCTGGAGTAAAACTGCCAAAGCATTTAAAGAAAAAGAAAATAAAGAAAATGATTTCAACAAAAATAACCCTGAAGCTGACCAAGATCAGGATGACTTCCCATGATAAAACCAGAAAATCTGGTCTTTAGCAAAAGATTCTTAATTGTTTATGAACACAGGTACACATTTTCTCTTGGCACCAGTTGTTGCCGCAAAGGTTGGTACAAGCAGTTATTAGATTTAGAGTGCAGTTACTTTTTCATATTGGACCAGGTTGGTTCAGCTTGTGGTTTTTTCTTAATTTATAAAATCATTATGAGAAAATTGCTTTTCTATTCAGTCTGATTGTTTTTCTCTGACATAAAAAAAATTCTTGATAATCTGAAAAATGACAAAAAAAAACAGAAGATAACTGTGATGGGGCAAATACTTTTTTTCATAGTACTGTAATATTAATGCATCTTAAAGATTATCATAGTCTGTTGATCCATTGACTTTTTCAGTTTTCTAGGAATTGTGCTATGAAATTAAGCAGACTTTATGATGACTTTTGTTCATGTTTTGATAGCTATTCCCTGTCAAAAACACGTTACACCGTAAAAAAGTTAATTTTAAAGCATCCCATCATGTAAGGCACAAGACTATGGCAATTTCCAATGCCAGAGAAAGCTAAATTTTGTTTTCCTTATGCATGTATTTTGCATGATCATCTGCATAGAGGTTTGCATGATCCGATCAGAGAAAGCAAGTCTTATCATTTCAGTGTTGTGCAACTACCAGTTAACGTCAGCGCTGCAAGCTGTGGCTTATCGCGTTGTCAGGGGATGTGTTAAACTTCAGCTGCAGACAAGTCACTGGAGACACGTTGATGTATCCCAGATCAAGTCACTGGGGCTTGTTGCAAAAACATATTATTGTTTTTCTCTGAGTGTCTGTCATTAACAAGGAATGCAAAGCCAGCATTTAGTCAAGCTGAAGAATTTCTAAAATAAAAGGATTCTTTGTCTTTGTTTCACCGACAGCTTCAGACAGGGATCATCCATCCTGTTCATGTGACAACAACCTTTTTGGGGAAGAAAAAAAATTTAATGACCAGGTGTTGGAGTGTTTCTTTCAATGTTTCTATTCATCTCTCAGTCTGCCCTATAAGACTTTGCTTGGTATGCATATGACTATGGTGTTAGAGTCAGACATATTTATGAAATGTCTGTGCTGTTAACAGTCTGAAAGGAAAGTAAGTGAAGACCTAACATTACTAGGTCTAGACTGATTAATCACTCAGCCCTTTGCTCTTAGTTATGGAAAAAAAAGACCCATTTTGTACCTGCTTTGTCCTGGTGAAGCTCATCTCAGCATCACTAGATGACAGGAGTACAAAAGAACCATTTCAGGTTATAAGTAATATTTTAAAATAACATAATTGATTAGTAGTTCTATAGCTGCAGAGGAATTCAAATATGTTGCTATGGAGATCTAAAAGTCCAAAATAGGTGTGTGTGTGTGTGTGTGTGTGTGTGTGTGTGTGTGTGTGTGTGCTCCATTCTTCACATACCTTTATCTGTAAATTTTAAACATACTCTGGCAGTGAACAAAGAGAATTTCAAGAATTACAATGAGAGGTTGGAGGAGTTTTTCAGGAATTTTAACTATCATCCTTCTAAAAATAGTTGGTTTTTCAGCACTGATGGCTTAAGGTCTTAAGGTTTGAAAAAAGTTGATCAGTAGAATGTTATCTAACTGCTGTACAATCCCTTTGGCCTTGACTCGGCTAACAGTTATACAGTGGCATGACCATGTAATTACCATCCTCTCTCCCCCATCTTTCTTCTATATTAAGCTTTAGTAAAAATCAATTTTTTTTGTAAAAGAATTAGAAATGTATTTAATACTACCCCTATATGAGGTTGTCTATATGAGGTTCACGCCATGACTCTTCTGTCTCCATCCAGTCCTGTTGCGAGTGTCCTGTGTGACTATGTCCTGCCATCCTTTTGTCCTCCACTACACAACCTATCCAGCGTCTTACGTTGGTCTTAACACATGCACTATGTGTACATGTAAATATTTAAGTAGATATTTTTGTACACATTTACACATAAATACCTAAAAGTATGTAACTTTTATGAAAAAAAAATAAGTGTTTTACTTATTAGTTGAAACTGCCACTATGTTGTTTCCCCCATTCTCAAGCTAGTTTATCCACCGATGATGGCAGATAAACTGTTTATCTGGAACGGTAAATTGTTTAGCAGCACTTACATGTATTTGATTGACAGCACTAAGACCCTCCTCCTTGCTCTGATTGGTGGTTTTTGACCAGGAGGAGTGCATTTCTTAAATCAGAACTATTTACATCCATACAACTTCTAAAATAATTTATTGACTGTTATATCTAATATCTAATTAAGCTGAAAATACAATTATGAATGAATGGTTGGTTTTCCTGCTGTTTGTAGAAAAATGATTGCCATTCTTGCCTTAAAAGTGATACTTTCACATCAGTGTAATTTGTAGTTAAATATTTATTAATTAAAAAAAATATTGCTTTATTTTTATCTCAACATTTAACAAAATGACTGTGGGTTAATTTGTTGCTCCAAGGTCTGTTTATATCAAAAAGGCTCCAAAAACAATCAACCTAACAAAAGAAAGCAAAGATACTGGAGCACAGAATCACAGTTGGATATGTTGTCTTTCAGATTAGTATCAGCAAAATAAAGAACTGTGCAAAAATACAACATGGTTGCAATTTTGTGAGTATGTCAGGGCTTTGGTTGGACCCACACAGTACCCTGCTCTTCACATCTTGCAGCAAGGTGGCACAGTAACAGGAATGCTCTTTGCCACTCTGTGTACAGATCCCTCAGAGATTAGTAATAAATGTCTCCACATGTGAGTTGTACCAAGCAAATAAAGACAGATACTTTCCAGTGTGTGGAGTTAGTTTATCCCCTCTATTGTTTATTGTTTAAAAGTGTAAAGAAAAATCCTGACATAGAGGAAGCCACAGGGGATGGAGAGGGCTTTGTAAATGACCTCATCTTTTTTTTTTCTTTCTTCCTTTTTTTTTTTTCAAAACAACAAGCAGGCTGGAAACGCCTTGCACTGCTTTGCACAGAACCAGGCATTCAGCTCTTCCAAGATAACCAGGTCATTTGCATTCCTTTGCGCAGCTTGTTTTCACATGGGCAGCTCTTGGTCCACCACAAAACGTGCGGTCTGTGTGGTATCAGCTGTAGATAATTCCTGCCTGTGGAGCCTGTATCTGAAGTGGTCAATCAAAGCCGCTGCAGAGGTCAACCTTGTCCTTAATTCAAGAGTGTGCTCTGGCTATAGATACGTCGTGAGTGTGTTTGCACCTTTACCGCAATGCTTGACATGCATTGTAACTCTGGTCATGCAAAAGTGACGCAGTTATTCTTTTGAATGGTATCTGAGTGTATAAATACAGGCTTTAAACTTGGGATGTTCTGTTCCTCTGACTGCTTTCTACTTGGCCGTGTTTGCAGCTTTATTCGAGAGGAACATTGGGTGGGAGGAAGCCATGGAAAGAGGAAGCAGTTTTCACATGGCAGACTCAAACCCAAACGCATCAATAGAAGCAGATGCATTGTTTTAACTCATGTCGGTATACTCCCTTTACACCACGAGTCATGTGATTTGTCACAGAGCGTAAACGGCCTTCTCTAGTGGTCGACGTCTGCTTGCCAACTCGGCCGTTTCTCCCAGAGAGGTTGTTCATGGGAACTCTGCTGCTGGGAAGCTTTGGTGTGGACTGCGGATCAAGTACTCCACTGTGAACAACATGAGCTCAATACTGACTGACTCATGGAAAAGATTAGGGATGCCAAGGGGTGGAAGTGTGTGAATCTGCATGAAGAAAAAGAAAGTTAGTGTTCTCATGTAAGGTACACATTAAACTGCTGTAGCCACTTTCCTGTCTTTGAAGCTAAATACAAAAAAAATATTTGAAGTTCTATGCACAGAGGTGAACTCCAGATATCAAACCGGTTTATTTTTTCACAATATAAAGTGACAGTTGTGGCTGGTTGACCCAAAGACATACAATTGAGGATTGGATTGATGCTGAAAACTTGTCAGCGATCGCGTGGAGTAAAATTGTAAAAAAAAAAAAAAAAAACATCTGCAAGGCATTATCCTCATTTCGCTGATTAGCTTAATGATGGTTTGTGCGACATAGATTTTTATTTATTAGGCTGAACCTAAATGAACAGACAAAGCTCCACTTCTTTAACTTGGTAGAATGGTATTGGCCTTTTTTGGCCTTTAAGGAAGTGCAGCTCTCTGCACAGTGGCTGCTCAGTGCTCCATTCTCACACTGGTATTATTTCACATATTTAGGAAATGCTTCTAAGGAAAAGTCCCCATCTGGACAGGAAGGGAGTGAAACACAATATGGATTAAATTTCTCTTAAATTCAGACATAGTTCTATAAAAACATATAAACAACACTCTGTCTCCTTACCCCTGTATTTTTTTTAAACTCTCATCAGCTTCCCGTGCTCTGTTTATCCAAGCTTCAACCTTCAGTAGTCTGGAGAACAAGAGGAAATGGCTGAGTTTTCCATCGACTGTTCAGTGTTGCAATTAGGCCATGTCAGTAATGATTTGTGGCAGCTCTTTTACTGTAAAATACTTTAAAATACAGCTCCTTGTTTCAGCCTGGGAGTAGACAGGCAGAGCTCTTGGCTGTCTTTTGCAGAGTCTGAAATATCAATGTTTTCAGAATGTAAACAACTGGCATATATTTGATATTTTGTTATTATCTTGGGTATCTGAATGCAGCTTGAGCAGTGCAACATTTTATTGAGGCTCAATGACATTAGCATTAAAGATGCAGTGATCAGATATTTGTGGGCAACCTCCAATCTAGGGTTTTTGCAAATCTTTGACTTGCTGATGCTAATTTTGGTTACTCAGATTTTTAAACAAATTTTTAATTCTCCAACCTTCCTGATATTAGCGCTCACTACTTCCCACAGTGGAAGCAGTCACTGCACATTTAAAACAAAGACAAAATTGTAGTAGCATGTTAGCATAGTTTGCATCTGTAAAGGTAAACATTGGCGCCTCTATTGGTAACCTAGAAAATGTAGATCTGTATCTTAACTCACAGATTTCCAAATGACTGCCAACATTTCCACTTCCAGGGTAAGAGTATAATAGATGTTGGATGAAAGTTCAAATGGATAAAACACAATAGCATAATCAGCCGTCCAGGTGTCTATTGAAGTCAACTATGAGTCAATTTGCTCCTTCGCCAATTTGACTAAACATTCCCAAGGCATACGTTTTAGTCCTTTAGTATTTCGCACTGCAGTATGCAGGTTAACATCCTTGTTTCACGCCCAAAAATGTCATTTAAGAAACGACCAAAAACTACTAGAGTACGAAATGCTACAGGAGTAAAATAATGTAGAAAACACTGACATCATAGAGCTTGTTTTAGACCTCTTAACCAGGACTGGCATTACAGAAGATGCTGTAAATGTGATCAAATCTTGCACCCTTCTCTACTTCCAGTGTTTTTTTTTTTTTCCTGTTTACCTTTCTCAGATATTGACACCTACATTTTGTGTTGTTCCCAGAATCTTCTCAGTTGTCATCGCCCCTCTCCACCAGCGACCATGTCAAGGATAACATAGATTTTGGCCCAGACTACTACAGCCAGATATGCGTGGAGCCACTGGACGGAGAGGGCGAACGTCCCGTGAGCCTGGTGTCCACCTTGTCCTCTGGTTCGTCCGCTGATAGTCAAAGCCTTTTTGGAAGTACGGCAGCACTTCCGTCCTCTATCACAACTCCCCTATCAAGCAAGGAACACATAGACCTGGAACTGAGCCCAACACAAGGCACCAACGGGCAGGCTGGAAGTCAGAGTCCTCGCCTCAAAAGTTCTGGTGGCGGCTGGCGGCGGCATCTGGAGGCCTGTGTGATCAACAACCAGAGGAACAACAACGCCTCTGCCAGCAGACTGGCGAGGGGTAAATTCCTTCACATGACCGCTTCGCCTGTTGTCACAGACACTATGGCGCCCAACCCAAAGCTTACCTATGTGGACCGCGTTGTCATGGAGATTATTGAGACGGAACGCATGTACGTCACAGACCTTAGCAGCATAGTGGAGGTGAGTTTATACTCAAACTTAATGTGTGTTATACTATTTTATTCCAGGTCTTGCTTTTGTAGGTTCTAACACATTTCCTTCCAGGATTTACCTTTTTTTTTTTTTTTTTTAAGGTCCATCCATCTTTCCATCAATTCTAACCAACTTGGTCGCTTAAACAAAAGCATCCCACAGCGTATTGTTGCTACCACCAGTGGGAACGGTGTGTTCATGGTGACTTCCAGCGTTAGTTTCCTACCACGTATAGAGTTTAAGATTTAACCTCAGTTAAATTTTGCTTTTACCCAACAACAGCTTTTCCGTTCATCGTGTTCCCTGCAGGACTTGAGACTTTATTTTTGCAATGGCTTTTCTTCCTTCCTTTCCCAGATTTGTGCATGGTCATCAGTTGTCCTGCCAGCAGATTTTCCCACCTGAGCTCTGGATTCATGTTCTGCATGTAGTGTTAATCTCCTTGCCCCTTCTTCTTCCTGTCAGTTTAACTGGGTGGCTATTTCTCAGTAGGTGTGTCACACTTATTGTTTTCAGATGATAAATTGTATAGTGCTTCATGATATTCTAAAAATTTAAGATATAGATTTTTAACCTCTGCTTTATTCTAGAGATGCCTGGTGTGTGTTTTTTTTTTTTTGTTCTTCATGACGCCATTTGGTCACTAATGTCCTTCAACAAACCTCTGAGGCCTTCATACTTGTAGAATAACTTGTTTTATGCTGAGGTGAAGGTGATGTCTAATTTACTGCAACAAGGTGACTTCTGAAAGCTGCACTGGATGTTATTGAAGGATGAAGCAGAGCACATATGTCCCCAAGTTTCTTTATGTTGAAAACTATGAATGAATTTGCTAAAATTTGATAATTATAGTCTGTTACCTATAATTCCAATAAAGTGGTGTGAGAACTTTAACGGGAGATTGTATTCATGTTGAGCCATCATTTTATATTGCTGCCAATAGTATGTATTTTGTGTGTATTTGACCCACGTTGGCACTCGACTGTGGCATAATGTCTGCAGTCCTCATTAGAAGTAATATATTGAATTTGAAAAGCCAGACACCGGTGCAGAGAGCTTCCACTCAGTCTCTTGGAAGGGGAATAATGTCTCCTGTGTTCCAGGCAGCTGTTTGTGAATTAAAAGTGTTTTGGAACCCTCTGTTGGATTTTTCTTCCTCATTCAAAGCCCCAATATGATTTTCCCTCTTTCTAAATAGATCAGCCAGTGGACAAAAATGCATGCCAGACATCTGGTTGTTGCTCTCTCTTTGCTTACAGGTTTTCTTGTTTATAAAGATGAAAGCTGACGAGCAGTTCATGATCTGGACTGGCTTTGTTGCATAAACACTGTGTATTTACAGTGCAGTGAAAGTTTACAGCCTGTGCAGCCTGGGTTTATAGATCGAGCGCTCATATTTCGACTGAAATGGGGGGTTCCTAGTGCAGACATCACCAGCGGCTAGGTTTATGTGCTTTGAGATTGTAAAAATCTCCTTTGAAAAATGAGAAGAGTAAAAAAAAAAATGGGGTGGTGATGATCTTACAACTCAATTATCACATTTTCTACTTTCATAGTCACTGGCAATTGCTTCCAGAAAAGAAAACTCCTTTTCCATCGGTCTTTACTCTTTTCTTTTCGGGACCATTACAAAGTCTGAAGATGGTAATGGCTTTAACATGTGAGGCATTTCTGAGACTGAATGGCAGTAAAAGAGCCAGCACCCCTCCTCACCTTGTCTCAGACGGTGCTGGCGTCTAACATTTGCTCGGAGAGCATGCACTGCCCTAGATCAAGTTTGAGTAATGGCTCGCTCCTGACAGACACTTCTAGGATTTGTAACTATTTTAGCTGACAGCAGCAGCAGCAGCTTAGCCTGGTCTTGGTCATACAGGCCCCCGCTGCAAACTCCTGCCTCGCCTGAACTCTCCGGCTGCCCCGGCCAACACAAACACCCCCATCTATCCACCAGCTGAAGAAATAACACAGATGAAACGAGTGCAGTTGGGATTTCCATAGGCTAGTGTGGGAACACGACTGGGCACAAATGAAGCCTCTGTCCTTTTATGATTACAGCCTGGCTTCAATCATTTTGATTCCATGCAGCTAATTTCACACCGAGCCTTAGATCTGACAGAGACATGTGAAAATGTTTCCTCTCAGTTTGGTTTTGTGTGTGTGTGTGTGTCTTTTTTTGTTGTTGTTGTTTAGAAAGCCAAATACTGACACTGAAGTCATGAGCAGCTGTTTGACATATTGATGTGTCTGTGAGATCCACCTTATCAGGCTCGGTCTCAGCTGCGTCCGTGGGATCCAGATTTGAAAGGCAGCTGGTTGACCCCAGCTGATTCCACACGCTGGAATACGTCCCCAACAACTGGCCAGGACACACCCAGAGCAATCATTCTGGTTGCTGGTGTGTGTGTGGAAATACTTGGCTGCTCTTTTTTTCACTTACACTCTTAAACGATGATTTATATTACCCATATCAGTGTTACAGCCCCCTAACCGGCCGTCCCTGTTCTATAATAAAGAACAGCTTGTAGCACCAGACGATACGAAACTTTAAATTTCATTGTATGCCAAAGGTCACATTTGTGGTGGATTTACCTTTTTTATATGTATATTAGAGACCTTTTGCTGCAGCTCATTCAGTAATTCATTGCCTGTAAGCTGTAGATGTGTTTTGCAGCTCTCTATCCAGGAGGCTGCTTGTGTGTTCAAGGTGTTTACTTGTGCATTCTTTATTGAGCTGTTGCATATTTGTTTAGGCTCCTTTTTAGCCCACTTCTTTACCTTTTTTGGTGATGTTTGCATGCCACTTGGTGTGCCATTAACCAAATACGATGAGGTGGGGGAAATCACAGATGTTGGCATGCTATGTCCATGGCATTTTTTGTTATTTTTATCTACTTTTAATAAACTCTGGAGGTCCAGAGGGAGATGGGTTTCATTTAAGGAAAGTAGCCTGTGCTGAAATTCTGCCTTCTTGTTGCTCAATATGTCTTCTCTAGTGCACTGAATAAATCTTTAGGAGTCTCAGAGGTTTAGGTAACATTAGAGACTAAACAAACATGCAGAGTAAGGTGATCTGACCATATAAGAACAAAATTCAACATTTTATCCTACTTGCAAAAAACTAACACTACACATTACTATGATCACATCACTTGGTGGTGGCAGCACCATGCTGTGAGGATGGTTCACTCCAGCAGGAGCAGAGAAGCTGGTCAGAGTTGAAGGGAAGAAAAATTGAACGAAGTACAGGAAAGTCATGGTGGAAAATCTTTTACTGGTAGAAAAAGACTTGAGACAGGAGCAGAGCTTCACCTTCCAATTACAATATTATGCTTTAGATTAATAGAAATTATTTTAAGCTTTTTGTTCAAATAATGTTTCTTTAGGAAACCTAAGCACTACTATTTTTTATTTTTTTTTAATCTTAGTGAAATTATCTCCAAAACTGAAACGGCTAGATAAGATGAGCTTCATGTTTACTGAGCTGGCCCAAGGCATAAGCAAACTAAGACCCCAATTAAGGCCTGGTGGTCAGAATACTGTATCTCAGAAAAGATGTTGCTCATTTTGTTCCTTCATCATTTCATACCATTGTGGATAAAGTTAGTAAATCAGTGTATTTTGTAGCAACTTTTACAAATAAAAATCCCAGTTTTTCACAAAGTATAAACATCAAACATTCTTAAATATTATTTTTTTTACATAAAGAATTTAAGTAAATGAAATTGTATAAACGACAAAAAACTATCAAATAAATTGTGGGTTTCTCGTTTTATAAATGACTATTTGTAACATAAAATTAAGTTTTGTGTGTAAAATTCACCAGTTTGTACAGGTCTGGATTATGTTTCAGATCTTCTTTGACAATCAATCTTTTACAGCAATTTTCTGTCATTGAAGCGCATTCTTACTGTAAGGAAGTGAAGTGAATGTCAACAAGCAGGAACCAGGAAGTTATTTACGGTCACTTTGTTTTGGGCATTGATCTTCATTCGTTATAAAAGTCTAGTGTCCTGAACAAAGAGTAGGGTACAAAGGTCACAGAAAGTTAATTACACTATACCCGCCACTTGATTATTTGTAATGTTATTTGTTTTCATAATTCATGAAAATTTTAGTTTGTTTCTGAGTACGAAATGGAAGTGCTTACTGGAAAAATGCCAAATTGATCGAGAACTTTCTGAACTTGCTTAGTTCATTTGTGTAATCTTTAAGAATTGCCAAGCCATTGCTTTCAAAATACCTGATTTATATAAGTATTTTTTTAACTAATCTAAATGATTGTAACATTTAAATTTATTCAAAAGAAGTGAAAAATTTGCCAAAAATGGACAGAATATTTTACTTGATATTTTTGTAATCATGATTGAGAAGGTAAGTCAGAAAAATAAACCATTCTCAATTTATTTACAGCTTCCACCTTCTATATCTGAATCTCACAGGCTCTGTCTGTTAATATACAACGGAAACTGACTTGTGTGATTGTCAGTCAGCTTAGTTAATTCCTTATTGACCCTCTAGATATGCTGTCTTAAATGCACAGCATGTGTACTGTAAAACCAGGTGTTGCTGTGACCTAAAATCTGCTTAGAGCCCCATGCAACCTTGGACCTGGTCTGCCTGTAGAAAAACATCCGTGTCAGTAGCTACCTGCTGCCTCCGCTGGTAGGAATCTGAAAACGCATGTGTGAAATATTTCACCACTGGGTTTAAATCATTACTCATTCTTTCCCTTTTCCTCAGGACTATTTGGCACACATTATCGATTTGAGAAATCTCCCCATCGGGCACGAGCAAGTGATGGCCTTATTCGGAAATATAGAGGACATCTATGAGTTCAACAGGTAATGAATCATCCTCCCCAATATTAAGAATAAAAACAAGAATTTGGTTTGATGTGGAAAAGTAGATAAAAATGGGAAAACTATAACAATATGAACAGTCACATATTATTCTTAAGCAAATATTGTTTTGACTCGTGATAGAGAATAGGAGACTGGAAATCATTGTTGATGTTACATTCCTGTGCAGATTACGTGAACAAGGAGGATGGCAGGCTACAAATAGATTATGCATCAGAGGATGCTTGTTTTTTTTATTTTTATTTTTTTATTTCAACTCATAGCTTGTTGTTGTGAAGCAATCTGATTGACTTTCACCACAGGAAAGACTGGTAAACGTGTGAAACCACTGAAAGTCTTGTTGCAGCTGGCTTTAAGTTTCATCATTTTGTGTCTATTGCTTAATGAGTTCTGCTGCCAAAACACATTAACACCCTTCTTTCCTTAAAGGGATGAGCCTTTCTTTTAAGACTGCCAGGGACTTCAAATAAGGAAGATTAAATGTAGTTCCATCTGTTTCTATTAAGAAATACTCAGCAGGTGAATACAGGCTCTGTATTTGCTTTAGTGTTGCAGCAGAGTTTGTGTGTAGGAGGCTAGCCAAAGGGAAGCCAGGGTTCTGTGTGTGCAGTGGTATGTTCAATATCGTGTAGGGTACAAGTTGTCCTCCGGGAGTCAGCCGTACGTTTTAGGTGTTCTTGACAAACACTTGACTTTTATGAAACTGTAAACGTGTTTTACCCAAGAATGGTGTCTTTGTTGCACTAATCCTTAAACTATCTGTCTGCATGAACAAATAACATTGTTTACGTAACAAACGTCAACAGCAGCACACTTCTTATTGTAAATGCCAGCGCAAACAAGTGCATCTGCAGCTCTCTGAAAAGCATATACTGCCACCTGCTGGCTATTTCCCTAATTGTATGGCATAATATCATCACATTCACCAATGCACATTTTGCTGGGTATTTCTTTGCATATAACATGATTACAACACATTGTGAAAAGTTAGTGCTCTGAGTTTTTTTAAAACAAGAAAGATTTGATGGGGGATGAGCCATGTTGACTTAATAAAAGGAAGGTGAAATTTTACAGTGCTATAAAGTGGCAGCAAATGACTTTGGACCTGAAGAGCAGAGACAGGAACAGAGGGAATATTTAAGATGGGTTTTATTCTTATACTTTGCCTCATCCAAACTTGTCAACATTTTTACTTTGTTTTTACCTTAGTTTTTTATCGTTTTTATTTATTTTACGGCAGTAATTCTGGGACAGTATCTTACATTTAAACTTAAGTCAACCCAAAATATTGATATAAAATATTACTGTTCTAAGCTTTACATTTTTTAATTGATGTATTTCAGTGAACTGCTGCAATGTTTGGACATGTGTGAGAACGACCCTGTGGCTATTGCTCACTGCTTTGTTAATAAGGTGAGGAAAACCTTCTCACAACTAAAAAACTATATTAAATTCCTCAACGAAATACATTTATGCCTGATTTGTGTTTCCTCCAGAGTGAATATTTTGAAATCTACACCAAATATTGCAACAATTATCCCAAGTAAGTATCCTCAGCTTTTGAAAAAGTATTTTTCTTTCATTCTTCAATGAGATTATGAGTGCTATTCCTTGGTGTTTGCAGCTCAGTAGCAACATTGACTGAATGCATGAGGAATAAAACTTTAGCAAAGTTCTTCAGGGATCGGCAGGCCGCTCTGAAACGCTCTCTCCCTTTGGGTTCTTACCTTCTGAAGCCAGTTCAGAGAATCCTGAAGTATCACCTACTTCTGCAGGTAAAACACTTCCTCACTGATTTTCTTTTTTATTTTATATTTGTGCATCAGGATTAGAACAATTTTCTTTTAAACCACTTTATGCAAAAGTGTGAAATAGCCATTTGCTCAAACGAAAAGTAAAAAAATAAAATAAAGATCTCAGCAGTAATTGTTTAGGACATTCTCTGAGGTTGTAATAACTTTGACTTCCCTTAAAGGAAATTGCCAAGCACTATGACCCAGATGAAGAAGGCTATGGGGTTATTAAAGAGGCGATCGACACCATGACCGGAGTGGCCTGGTACATTAACGACATGAAGAGGAAACATGAGCACGCCGTCAGAGTGCAGGTTAGAAAATCCAGTGAAGCTCAAATGCAACAAAAGGGAAAGTCTGACATTTTGCTTTTTTTAAAATGTATTTTAATATATATATATAATATATATTTTTTTTTTTTTTTTTTTTTTTCCAAAGGGGGCGTTTTTTTTTTAGTGGGGCAAAAATAAAAATTGAATTTAATTTTTTTTT